TGTAATAGACAATAAATAGGCATTTTTTAAGGTATAGAATAAACTTAAAATTTGGTCCACCTACAATGAATGTAGTTTAGGTCAATACATTTTTCATGGGGCTGCTAATTATCGAGAAATACATTATCATTCTTAATTTGAAATTTTACTATAGGTACTTTAACATAATGAATAATACTTCACTTCAACTAATACTTCAAAAAATAATACTTTAACATAGTCGCAATTAACTGAATCAGTAAGTAATGAAATTGTCGAATGGCTTTTAGAGCCAAAAGAATCCCGTCTAATAATTTCAGGTTACAACAACTTTAAACAACTTTTAAATCTAGTAGACAAACAAACACTATTGTATGAACATTGAACAGTTTTCCCCTTTTATGAAAACTCAGTTCGAATTACGTAATATCATTGACTATATATAATATGCTAAAACGCCATACCACGTGCTCGTTGAAGACAAAGAGGAGTCATAATCATGACCTCGACTTTACTCACACAACTACACGCACACACACACACACAACGTCGGGATGCCAGCCGGCGTCTACACCTGGTGCTTTGTCTATGGGATTGATCCGAACACCATAATATTTCCATGATCAAGTTGTCGCAAAATTTAGAATACTTTAACGTATTTCTGGTTTATTTCAGCACCGACAGTGTGCCTTTTTTTTACCTTATATCTGACAAACACCGTAAACACAACACGCCAAAAACACTAATCTGTAGCATATTTTATTCCACGTCGTCAATCCCAGAAACGAAAACAAAGAGAGAAATAGTAGTCTTTATTCATTTCATCACTAGGGCGTAAAAAGTGACTTTTTATGCCCTGGTAAGTGCAACTTCTCAAGGTCAGTTTGTTAAAGTTGCTTGTATTGAGAGTACTTTGCGTACTAACACAGAGATAACTATTTATTCCCTCTGGGGAATAGTAAACGAGCTTCTTTGGACCCGCAATGCATGTAAAAACGCCTGTTTTTGCTGCAGTATGACGAAAAGGAATTCTGTGATTGAATTCTGAGACTCTGTGGTTGTCTTTATTTTAATACTGTAACTAAAATTGCAAACATTGCAACAGCTGGTCTCTCAGACTATACAGTACATATGGTAAGTACACTACCGTAGTCTGTGACAAGTATCCAAAAGTCATTGATTACACACTCCCTTACAGGTCTTACAGATAACCCTACTAATATTATAAAAAATGTGAAAGTATATGGGTTTGTGTATGACTGAAGTTCCAACACGTGAAAACTACTGGACCGATTGAGCTGAAATTTCATATTGTGTACTTGATAGTCTTGAGAAACACATAGGCATAGGAAGTTGTGAAAATCCTACAGATACCCCACGGGGGTCCAATCTTCAAAGTGTCCATGTTATTTTTATGAGTGTTCATATCTGTTACAGTACTATATAGTACAGTATACAGTACTATATAGCAGCAACAAAAAGCTGTGATACACAATGAGAACTGTCAAAGTAGGATTGTTTAAAATGTAATGTTTTTAATTTAATGAAAAATTGAGAGATAGTGCGATGTTTGATAATTTACTTGTTTTCTATTGCTTATAGGTGCAGTGGTAGAACATTACGGCTATGGTAGATGTGAATATCATACCGTAAATTTAAAGTACCAAATTTTCTCAAACCGTGTCCTACCCCATTACAAACGCAAAGAACGAGTATAACCATAGATAAAAGTAGTAGATAACTAAGGAGGGTCTACTCCTTTTATCTATAGCATAACTGCAATTAAATAATCATTTTGCCAAGCCCGTACGAAGGACGGGTACTCTGCTAGGGACTCTTCTCCACTCTTCCTAGATAATAATAGATCAGCTGAAGACAATTGAGGTGTATTTATACGATAGACCTAGCATTTTGAGAGCGTGTCATATTACTACCCCTACCTAAACTTGAGTATTTACGGGCAAACAGAACTATAGTATTTTTAGTTGTATTGTAAACTACTGATTAGAAACTTGTCCTTTGGTATCATGAGAAAAACAACAGAAATTCCAAAAGTTAAGGTTTTATTTTTAGCATACTTTTTGAAGTTTTGCGATTCAAACAGAACTTCAAATCAAAAGGGAAACACAGTCTCTACTTAGGCTCAAATTGGTACTCAAATTCATAGGAAGCAAATTAATTGATTCTAATCATCAAAAATATTCTCCTAAAACATGAATAAATAGCATTACCATTACCTTCAACAATAAAATAAATTACTAAGCCAATTTGATTGGATTTGATACATTGTGTGTTAAGTTAATCTCAACCTGTTTGTTACATGGAATTTTAAAGCTCCTCTAAAAAGTGTAATACAGGGCTGTAAAATGTATGATTAAACAATTTTTATGAATAATACAGGAGCCTTGGGATAAAAGAAACGAGGAGTACATCAGTTTGCTGTAGGACTTATGAAGGGATTAGATGAAGAATTAGATTAGAATTTTAGAATTAGATTTTTTTTAGAATTAGCTATTTTTCAGCTAATATTATAGATGAAACGTGTCATACAAATACCACACAGGGGACATGTTGATGGTCATGCCCAACAGACTAAAACCACGAATATTATAACTGAAACCCATAATAAATACAGCAGGTAACTAGTCTAGTACCGTAAGATGGAAAATACCCCCACCACAGCAAACTTGCAGAATCGCTATTTGTCTGATTGGACTGATTTTTCCCCCATTTAAATAACATTTTAAGATACCTATATAGTTTTTGCTGCTACGGGGAATTTAAAAAGTGAGTTCACCAAATGTTACAATTAGAGCATTAAAATTGATCAAATTCAATTAACATACATCCTTAAACAAACAAAAACAGTTTTTTTCTCTGTAAGAATTAAATGGGAATCAAATATAGTTTTTGGTATTTTTCTCAGTAACTTTAAATTGTACAACGCTTCGAACATAATATGCTATATTATAGCAATTAATACTGCTATGCGCCGAAATAATATGACACAGAGATAAAATTATACATATGAGCGTTATTATAACCACTGCAATTAGCCATGCAATTATTACTGAAACAAACTTGGGCTACAGCTAGTTGCATTACCGTAAAATGGGGTGAATAGAAACAACAGGGTGAATAGAAACAAAACTTCAATGAATGATTCACATATTTTTATAACTTTGTTATACATTGACTTTATATAAGGGAATTATTTTCCCCCATTATAACCATATCCTATCTACCTGGGAAAAATTAGTTTAGCATATTGGTATCACTGCTTCGGATGTTGGATGATGCGAAACATCATTTGAAAATTTTGGCGAAAAACATTCTTTTCAAAACTTTTTCTCTAAGTATGAACCTATTGCATGTATTTATGTTAATAACCATTTTTTATATTGTCTTAGGTATCTTAAAACCAAGTGTGTTAATAGATTAGCCTTAGAATAAACTATATTTTTTTACTTTATTTTTAATTTAGGTTATGTCATGATTTTGCAAAACCAGGGTGAATAGAAACACTTTTTTTTTAACCAGTGTTGCCCCAGAAAACCCCCCAAAAAAGAAAAAAAAATACCAGAGATGAAGATGATTCTACAGCAGTCACACTGGAAGAAAGTGACAAAGACGATCAATTTGATGAAGAAGAACGAGCATACCTAGCTCAAGACATCAGTGAGTCTTCAAAGTTGTCCCTTCATGATCATGTAATTGTCAAAGTAATGGGGAAAAACAAAACTTGCTATCGTTTATATGTTGCAAAAGTTATTGAATTTGACGAGGAAGGATAAATAGGAAGATTCATCAAGAAAATTGCGCAAACCAACAAGTTCTGAGAGACAGATTAAGAGGCCCTCTTCAAAGTCGATGACGTAGTACGATCGGCTTCCAACTCCCAAGCCGTGTAAAACTTGTAGATTTAAGGGAGTGTTGTATTTTGAGGAAGATTTGTCTGATTTTACTCTTCATTTAGTTGGTTTCTATGTAAGATTTTGTTACTCTGATTTCACCCATTGTCATTCATGTTCTCCGATTTGTTTGGATAAGGGTTTATGAAAACGACGTTTTTATACTTCGTACTTATATATAAATGTGTTAATTAACTTTAAATATTTTTATTTACAACAACCTAAGCTAACAAGCATAAATTTCATGTTTCTATTGCCCCTGGTAAGTGAGGAAAAGCAACAATCATCAATTTAACACAGTGTTTCTATTCACCCCAAAGTGCGGGGTGAATAGAAACAGCCATATTTTATTTTTTTTCTGCTTAATGATTAAAAAGAAAAAAAAATTGATAACTGTTTTGAGTAGAGGAGTTCAAGACCGAAAATATGAGCTAGTGTTGAAAATTTAAAAATTAAAAATATCGGTATTACAGAAGCTTAAAAGTCAAAAAGTGTTTCTATTCACCCCATTCTACGGTACTGCACTAAGATATATTCAACCTATATAAGCTATGAGATTCTTTCTGCAAGAAATAAGATTTATTTTACAGTCCACCACAGAATGATGTGCAAGTACATTGATCCGCGTTTGAATGTGCCGGGAAAAAGGCGGAAATGCTCAAGTTAGCTGAAGTTTATAAATTGATTTTCACTTAGTTAGAATAATGAAACTTTGAAATAAAATATACGAGCATGAAACGTGGCATTTTTAAAAGGTTGCATACATATCACTATGCAATTACAACGAATCAATAATTTTTGTAAAGTAAACACTTGATAGAATGTTCTAGAATGTTCCAGAACGTTCGAGAACTTCTGCTACTACATTGCTAGTCGAATGAGTACTTAAAAACTATAGGTTTTCGTAAAATATGAATACAAAGGATTCAAACAAGAGTTTAAAACTAAAACAAATTTACAAGTGTTTTTTTCAGGATTGAATAAGATGATATCGTACACGTTTGATTAAATGAAACCATTTAAAACCTCAACTGATAGAACATTCTAGAAGGTTCTCGAAGGAAGGCGGTGCTTACAGCGGAAGTTGCCTACACGTGGGTTCGAGGGGTTGCCAAGCTTATAAATACAACCGTACCGGCTTTTCTCGTTCAGTCAGCTGAAGTTCGAAGCGCATTGTTGCGAGTCGTCCGTGAGTGATTTTGCTGTGAATTCTACGCCTTTTTCGTCTGTGAATTATTACATTTTACAAAGTAAGTAACATTATCAATGATTTTATTCTTAACTCAAACATCTTGTGAAAAGATAAAATATTGCAACCTTCAACAGGATACTTTTTGTACGTTACATTTTTGGTTTTAGGCTAAAGTGTTTCTAGGCAGGGGCTAGGCCTAGCCTATGTTAGTCAAGCGGGCGTTAAACTTAGCCTATTCTCTTATGCAGTTTTTGGTTTTTGTCTTGAACTTCTCTAGTTGAGTACAGTTTCTTAACTGGGCTATGCTAATATTGATTAAAACTATCGAATTGAAAATACTGATTAATAATCAATATTTGTAGATAATCTATTATAAAATAAAGCTATTAAAACCTAACCTAACCAACCAAACTTGCTGATGGTGAAATAATCTCATGAAGGTTTACTAATTGAATCGATAGTTTCAATCGATATTAGCGTAGCCCAGTTAAGAAACTGTACTCCCTTATTCGTTACTCTACCCACATCTAAGTTTAACTTATGAGAACGAAGTCGTTTTTGTGCTAAAATAATAACAGAGGTGGTCTAGGCCTAGGCAACGATAAAAACAACTCATGGATCGCTGGCTCAGTGTTGGCCGCGCGGTCGAGCTTCCCCCACCATCTACTGGCAGAAGCCGACGCAGCCCATACATTCACCATTATAAAACACACTTTTTATTAGCTGCACTGTTGAAATTTATAGGGATAAAATATTGCTAACGCTTGTTAACCCTCCGAGTGTCACGCGTCATAAAAACGACGCACAACACACTTTGTGTAGGGTCACGCGTCGCTTTTAAGACGCACAAACATCGTTTACGGCGAAGGCTCTATGACTGACTGAATCGGATTGAACTGGATCGAGTTAGGTATCGTTCTTTCCGTAATATTCTAAGCTTTCTGCAGAGGTCTGTCTCTAAGCGCTATTCATTTTAGTTCCGAAAATATTGTAGCAGACAGCTGACGTGCGTGTACCTATTTGTAAACAGCTAGGTTCCCCCGGACCGATGACTGATGTGTTTTATTACGTTTATCATTGTTTTAGTGTTAAAAATCAAAAGTAGTGATATACGTGGTGCATTATAAGAAGATTTAAGTGGTTTTGAAGTGCTGGTTGATGATCCTGAAGAAGTAGGTAGTGATATTGATGTAAATTATCAGCCAGATTCCTAGCTATGGTTAGGCTATGCATTCTTAGCTAAACGCTATGTACTGAAATCCGTTTTTCGCTCATAACTTATTTATTTGATAACTTACCTCGCTATATGATTATATATTTGTAATCCTCATTAAATTTAGAACAAAGTGGCTATTTTCAAATATTTATAGGCCTATAATTTATACAATTTCATTGAGCGCGAACTTATTTTTTTTTTTTAAATTTTCAAAATTATATTTTTTTTTTACCTAAAAATTTTTTTTTTTTTTAAATGTTCCTTATGTTTTATATATAATATTGAAGCCCATGATTTTCCAAACAAAATGGTATATAGAACATTAGAATTAACATTGTTTTAAGCTTCTCAGATCCGTTTTAATAAAACCTTGCAAAGGGGCCAAAAATAGGTGGACATTAAGGCCTAAACTATGGACACTCGGAGGGTTAAACTCTTGTTACTAGTTAAACCTTTTATGTCTGTTTTGTTTATTGCAGAAAATAACCCATTTGAATTCTTTAAAACTACAAATTCACTAAACCCGTTTTGTAGATGTTTTTAGACAACTGATATTGCTAGTTCCAAATTGTACATGGTAAAATAATAAGTGATTACAAAGGAGAAATAGAAAGTAGGGTAAGCGGGGGGAATTGGGTGGGCGGGGTAATTGGGTGGTAAAATTTTTAAAATTTTTTATATTTTTTATTTATTGATATTTTAACATTTAAATGACATGTATGGACAGCCAATCTCTTCAAGAATAAGCCATAAACCTTTTCAGATTTGTACCTTTAAACATTTAAAGGAGGGAAATAGTTTTAGGGACCCTTGTCATTTCGCGATTCTAAAAGTTGTATGCAAACTTTTTTAATCTTTCATATAAAATGCATTAAAATTTTCATACATGTGAAATTACATTATTTTTCACCATAAAATGAATAAAAATATACCAAAGAACATGCACAATACTTATCTTCATAATAAAACTAAGTTACTACTAATTTTGTTTTTTTTTTTTTTCAAAAATGCTACCACCCAATTACCCCCTTATGGGAAATTGGGTGGTAAATTTTAAAACTGAGCTAATACTGTTTCCTTGGCTTAATTTAATTAAAAAAGGCAATAATAATAATATTTTGTGAATATAATTCACACTAGAGTTTTTGTTTTGGTATTTCACCACTACCACCCAATTACCCCTATACCAATACCATTAACCCTATGGGTCAATGTCACATAATGGGTGATTTTGAAGTCCTTTGGGCACAAATGCAACATAAAAATATTATTTTAAGTAATAATGTGTTGTTATTATTATCCAACCCCTTACCTTTCCAGCAAACATAGTTTTAGATCCTAATCATAATTTATTCAATAAGAAAAATAAGACTGTTTATCATAATTTGCCAGTCGTTCACTGTCCCCAGCCTAATGCCGTAATGTTCACTCAAATAATAAATACTTCATAACCTCACAATTTTGCAATATAATGGAACTATAAACATCGGGAGATCGTCTGCTATCAAAAACAAGCAGTATTAAAATTCTAAATACGATGGGGACTTTTTTTTTATTGTCTAAAGACAGTCCCCAAGGTACAGCATGTCAAAGACGTTTCGACAAAATGGGTTCTAGAAGTAACGGGGCGATGCGTAATTTGGCAGCAAAACACATTCTAGTGCTTGTGATGAGTTTGCGCAGTAGCCACAGCTAAACAATTTTGTGAATTTTAAGAAGATTTTTAGAAATGAACTGATAAACAGATAAGAAATGCATAGTACCTTAATTAAGATTCAAGTCGTTCACTTTAATAACTCACAAACTTTGCAACTTACAATAAAAAGGATTGCATATTCTGACAATGTCTCTAGGCCTAGAACCTAACCTCAAATTGGATGTCAACGCAGTAAATGTAGCTTTTCATAGACTAGATTTTAGATCAGATTTGCCAGTCGTTCACGCTCCAGTTGTTCACGTGAACGATGTTGAATATCGTGAACGATTGGCACAATACTGGCTGTACTTTAAATGTCGTTGCTCTTTTACAACTATAAGGTTTAGGGTATAATATTTTATGGTAGTCGTTCCTTCATTATAACATCAAATTCTAAACAAAATGAATCTTTCACAAATGACCAAAGAATGTTAGGCTAGGCCTATGTTTGTAATTTCATAAAAAAAAGATTTCATTAAAATATTGTTGAAACATTACATTTGGGTTTACATTTCTTCTAATTAATATCCATTTCTCGATGTGTTTTTCAGTAACTTACTCCAGTTATACATTGTTCAATGCCATCAATGCCAGTAGTTCACGGTCAGCGCCAGTAGTTCACGGTCAACGCCAGTAGTTCACGCTTACCAAAACACATATATTTCACTAACTGCTTATCCTATATTATGATGTTTATGTGTTTTCTGATACATGCCATACCGGCAATCATATTTCAGTACAAACAACAATTTACTGCAATTCACTGTTGAAATATTTGTCATTCATACTAAAGTTTCGTCTGCAAAGTAGAGCCAATTCATTTTAGGTTAGCTCAAATTGTTAAAATTTCCTCAAATTGAACGAAATTAAATATTTTGGTTTCGTTTATTTGAATTTTGAGGGGTATAAGTAACATTTATGATGACATTTTTAATTTAATATCATTTTTACTATTTTATTTTTGCAAATTCATCAGCGTGACCGACTGGCATTTTTTGTGTGACCTTCAAGCTAAAAATAGAGTTATAAATTAAGGTATACAAAATTCAGCTCTGCTGATTAGTATACATTATTCCTTGGTAAATACTGATTGTAATAGGCTAGTAGTATATCGATTTTAAAAGTAAAAAAAAATTTTTTTGACTTTCCTGAAAATTCATCATTATGTGACATTGACCCCTATACCACCCAATACCCGTGAGTTCACGTCACATTGGACTGAACCCAGAAGACCTAAAAAAAAGTCACAAAATTACGTATTATAGCAGGGTGTCCACATTCTGGAAAGTCAGGGATAGTCATGGAAAGTCATGGAAAAAAATTTTGGTCATTGAAAGTCAGGGAAATAGGCAAGAAGTCATGGAAAGTCATGGAAATTTCCAATTATGGATGGATTTGAGGGGACCATTCAATGCTCTAGTCAGCTGTAACCCGGACTGTTTTAGCATTTTTCAGGATTTTTCACAAATGTTCGACAATTCAATTTATTACAGTTGTATTATTTTATGAGTTTTTGGTTTGTTTTAGTTCATTGTTGTACCTATTGTACTCCATTGTTATCTGTTATTACATATTTCAGTATTTTCTGCAAAATAACATGTCCAGGCAGTTATATTTGTGTGTGTATGTTATATTATAATTTGCGTGTAAAGTTCGTGAGTCATTGAAATCAATGGTAAATGGTCATGGAAAGTCATGGAAATTAATGACAAATTTTTTGTGGACACCCTGTATAGTTACTTAAATAGGCATAGAGACTGCAGTAGCGACTGAGCTGATGTAGTAAACTAGTGCATTAGGCCTACATTACTTAGTTTATACAGCATCCCTTGTTTTATATCGTGCGAAGGACTGGAAAATCGTGCCTCATTTTCTAAAGTTTTGAGACCATATTACATAATTTAAACCTTATTAGAGAAAAATCTGTCCCTATTTTCCTGTTAATATTATTAATGTACTCTTTATATTATGAATTTAAAAACTGTAGGCCATAATATTTAATTGTGGTTAAAGATTTTTTTTAATGTGTGTAGTTCAGGAAAAATATGTTTGTCACCACAAAATTTATGGTAAATTTTGTTTGTTTTTTATTAAACCTAGTTAAAAATGTTGCTTTTAGTTTCCTTTATAACACCCAATTTCCCAACTTTAATTAGCATTTAGTGTTTATGGATTGTTGACCTACCACCCAATTACCCCCATTTTAATTTTTTAAATTTTTTTTGGGAATTGCGGGAAAAAAATAAAACATGAAAAAGATAGCTTTTTGTATTATACATAAAATTAATTACCGGTAAGTAGGCATTTAACAACAAAAATAGGAAAAGTGGCCTAACCAGATACATTTGTAAAACATACCTCCCAATTCCCCCCGCTTACCCTACAATATTTGTGTTTGAAATTCTATTTTATTATTTGAAAAAATAGTATATAAACATTTAGAATAATTTTGCTAAGTTTTTGCCGCAGTGGTAACGTAAATGTTTGACGTAAACGCTAGGTACCTATATTTTTTTTCTTTCAATGTTTAATGACAATATATCTTTCAAAATAGGTCATAAAAAAGTATGCCTATCACGTTAATGTCAAGCATAGATTTGAGGTAAAAACTGGACAAATGTAACTTATTAGGGTTTTCAAGAGTTCAAATGTGTTATTTTCTGCACGAAAAGAAGAAGACATAAAGTTTAGAATAGTAGTAGAATCTTGGTTTTTGGCATGTATTAGCAATATTTTATATCTATATATTTAAACAGAGCAGCAACTTAAAAATGCGCGTTTTATAATGGTGAGTGTATGGGCTGCGTCGGCTACTGCCAGTAGATGGTGGGGGGAGCTAGACCGAAAACAGCGCCCTCAGTGCTACTGAGAGCGCATTCCAGTAGTTTTTACATCGTTGGGCCTAGGTAGTATTTGTAGTCTGTAAGCCTACTACAGTCTTAGCTTATTTTTTACAGGTTCTAATAACTTAAAAAATTGCAGCCTTAGTTACACCTTATTTCAAACAGCATAATTGGCTAATTTACCTCCAAGGCTCTGCATCTAGAAATCTAGCCTAACTTTAATTATTTGTAACCTGATTTTTTGGGTACAGTTTCTTAACTGGGCTAAGTTGCGCTTTAAAAAGTAGGTACCGGTATCTTTTTATTATGAAGTTAAGCAATCACAACCCAACCTTACCAACCAAACTTGCTGATGGTGGAGAAAATCGCATGAAGGTTTACTAATCGAATCGATAGTTTCAATGGATCTTAGCGTAGCCCAGTTAAGAAACAACCCGATTTTTTTTTTGTGATCGGACCAAGTAACTTAGGTTAGTCCTTAGGACTGAAGTTTGATATATAGGCTAACTTGCAACTAAGTTACCAAGGCCTTACACCTACGCTTATTAACCCTCCAAGTGTCTCTAGTTTTGGTCTTAATGTTCACCCATTTATTGCGCAATCGCAGGGTTTTATTAAAATGTATCTTAGAAACTTAAAAACAATGTGAAAAAATCATTTTGTTTTGAAAATTATGGGCTTCAACGTAACATATAAAACATTACAAAAAAACGTTCAACAATTTGTGGGGTTAACATTTCTCAAAAATTATAGGCCTAAAATAAATGAAAAAAATGTATGTTTGCGCTCAATAAGTTGTTATAATTTATAGGACTAACTTACAAATATTTAAAAATAGCCACTTTGTTCAGAATTTTATGAGGATTCCAAAAATATAATAATACTAGCTGTACCCGCGGGCTTTGCCCCGTTTAACTTCATAAGTGAGCTCGTTCGCATGGCTCAATCACGTCCTGGTCGAAGTTCGTTCGCTACGCTCACTCACCTTTAGGCACAGAAAATATACTTCAGGTTAGCTCGTTCACTACGCTAACTCGCCTCCAGGTTGAAGTTCGTTCGCTACGCTCATTCACCTTTTGGTTGCAAATAAGCTGTAGTCATAAATTTAAAAAATAATAATAGTGCTGTACCCTGTTGGTAATCCTTGTAACTTTAATGCTATTGAACATCATAGAACAGAACCTACATGTTTAATTGAAACAGCTGTTAAGATTCATTAATTCCTTTTAAATATGAAAAATTATAAGGTTTAACATGGGAAACTCCAGAGCCACTGGGGCGGAGCCCGAAAGCCCGATCAGAATAAAAACCACTTAGTTTTCCTATTTAATGCCCAAAGAATCAGTGTACCGAATTTCAGCCTCCTAGGTAAATGGGAAGTGGGAGAATTAGTGATGAGTGAGTGAGTGAGTGAGTCAGTGAGGGCTTTGCCTTTTATATATTTAGATAATGAAGTAGATTTGCAAATAAACAAGTTATGGACAAAAAACAGATTTCGGTACATAGCGTTTAGCTAAGAATGCATAGCCTAACCATAGCTAGGAATCTGGCTGATAATTTACATCAATATTTAAATATACACCACAATTTAAGACAAATATTCGAAATATGTTTTTAAAATTATCAATTTTATGTTACTACTTAAAATTAACAGTGTTTCTTGTTTTATATCTTGGTTTTCCTTTCGTTGGAGTCGTATACAGGGTGTTTCAGAATTAGTGTCGGATATTTTAGGGTATTATTCCTGGATAAGAAACATATCCAAATATCATATTTAAACAGCCCGGAAGTCTTTATTTACTCAAACAGCCGCCATTTTGTTTTTTTTCCTTTAATATTTTTTTTTAAAGAGAATGGTAAAACATACGGAACTGAAACTTTGCACAAACATTTCTGACTACTAGGCAAAGCTACAAAAAAATTATGAACATTTTCCAAATACATAAAACAAAATGGCGGCCATTTTAAATTTTGTTTCTTAAATAACTCAAAAACCGTTGATTTTATGAAAATTTTACAAAGAAAACTTTTTTTAGGTAATTTTATTACAAATCGATTGACACCTAAGTTTTTACAATTGAACGTATATTAACTGAGATATGGCAGTTTTAGTGATACGTCTGCCACAACAATGCATGGCTCCGCATGCACTACAACTAACCTCCAGTGGTCACGTATCACTAAAACTGCCATATCTCAGTTAATATTCGTTCAATTGTAAAAATTAAGGTGTCAATCGATTTGTAATAAAATTACCTAAAAAAATTTATTCTTGTAAATTTTTCATAAAATCAACGGTTTTTGAGTTATTTAAGAAACAAAATTTAAAATGGCCGCCATTTTGTTTTATGTATTTGGAAAATTTTCATAATTTTTTTGTAGCTTTGCCTAGTAGTCAGAAATGTTTGTGCAAAGTTTCAATTCCGTATGTTTTACCATTCTCCTTAATAAAAATATTAAAGGAAAAAACAAAATGGCGGCTGTTTGAGTAAATAAAGACTTCCGGGCTGTTTAAATATGATATTTGGATATGTTTCTTATCCAGGAATAATACCCTAAAATATCCGACACTAATTCTGAAACACCCTGTATATTAGTTGCTTCTGATGTGTCAATGAAATACAATTGTAAAATAACTAGTGTCCCTGTTGCTCGAATTCGAGCAATTGCTAAGTAAATATTTGTAGCAAACTGTTATAATACTATATTAGCCAACTTATTGACTGTTTAGGATTAACCTATGCTCTTCTTCTCACTTTTGATTTCTGACAACAGCTGGAGTTTCATAACAATTTTTGTTTCCAATGTTAATCTTATGGAGAAATACCAAACTTTAAAGGGCTCCAGGGCCTCACTCTCTCATTATTTCCCTAAAAAGAAAGTTTCCTGCACAACTTCACGCTACGCTCTTTCCAATGACACCAAAAACATGACAATCGGTTCAGTAGTTTCGGAGGAGTAATTGTCACAAAAATCCTGCTTGCGTATTAAATAAGTATAGATGATACGGTTTGGCCTGAGCACGGAGAACTACGAATCGGAGCTGAAATCATACAGCCAAACACTGCACATCTTTTCTAGTTTAAAATTGAAGATTTGTTTTTTAATCTTATGAATTCTGTTATAGTTTCCATTTTGAGAACCAAATGTAAAGGTTATTTTACCACTAGCATGCAAGTAAATTTGTGTTTGACACTTATTCGAGGAGGAATGTGAGCTGTACTCGTAACTTATGTGTGCTCAAATAAATGTAACTTAAACTGGCCTTTAGTTATACTTGGGAAACGAACGAAGCGAGTTCTGTTTTATTCTTTGTTGTGGGGATTATAAACTGTCAAAACCGTCAGATAGGCCCCAGTGCCGTTTGACTCCCCAGTTTTTATTGAACATTCCCCCCTAGTTCCGTTTTTATTGAACTCAAAGTTAATCTGAGTAGCAGATTTTAATTTTACTTGTTTTACAGATGCCGGAAGACGTCGACATGAAGGAAGAGGAGGTCGAGACCTTTGCCTTCCAGGCAGAGATTGCCCAGTTGATGTCCCTGATCATCAACACCTTCTACTCCAACAAAGAGATCTTCCTCCGAGAATTGATCTCAAACTCTTCTGATGTAAGTAGAACATTACACACCATAATTATATTGTTTGGATAATACGTTTGGCTTTGGATAGCCTATGTGAAGCTCTCCACTGCCCAATGACATGAGGTTGGGAAAAACGAGATGTCAGACTCCATCTTACTTTACCTGTACAAATGAACTATAAACTGTGTTTGGCCATATATTTATTTGCCCAAGTTACAGAGAGTTAAGAAACCGAGCCTAACCCTAATCACATAATAACTTGGTAATAGTTATTGATTATTGAAATAGTAACTCAGTTGGGAGAGACCCATTGAAATATCTCACATATATAGCAATGCACATGATTTTATTTGGAATTTTTTTCTTTTCTTAACAATTTTCCTAGGCCTATGTAATAACTGTAGACAAGTTGAAGCAGTTTTTGAAGTAATTTAATTCCTTACTTTAAATTAACTTACTTTACATGCAAGAAATAATATGACATGCCACATTTAGTTTCACATTTATAATTGTTCTCCTTTGTAAAATGTTAACTTGTGCTTATTTTATTGAATTTATATGAATGGTCTGAATTTGTTGTACAATTTTATTACATGCAAGGCCTTTAAGACGTTGCCTTGCATTTTCCTGTCCACATAGGATCTGTGCGTGGAATGTATCCAGTAAAGCAAGGGGTGAGCTGGCACGAGAACGATAAGAACAGTAAGAACAATTGTTTTGTGAACTCGCACTTCTCTGATATACTACACTATCTTCTGTCCCTAAATTATGCTGTTGCTACTAATAAAGGCTTAACCCTTAAGCCAAAGGCGAGTAAAGACTTCTTAGGTGCTAATCTATTTATTTGCTTAATCTTGGTACATCTGTTTGTTGTAGGCCTTGGACAAGATCCGTTACGAGTCCCTCACTGACCCATCCAAGATTGAATCTGGCAAGGAACTTTACATCAAGATCATTCCCAACAAGAATGACAGGACTCTGACCATCATTGACACGTAAGTATTCCCCATTTGGCTTACTAAAAAATATTTTAAAAAGTTTTAACTGTCAAAGGTTTCTTAAACTCTTGGTTAAACTGTGATGTCATGTCTTTTTAGCATTAACTAAACTGTGATGTCATGTCTTTTTAGCATTAACCAAGTCCAAAGTTGCCATAATGCAGTAAACCTTACCCAGAATATTGATTCTTTTTAGATAAATATTGTGTTAGGCATCTTGTTATTTATTTACAGCCCACTAGGCCTAATAGCCTACTTGTTGAGCTGCCACTTAAATTTTGAAATATGTTTTTTTTTTCAATAACACTATAATTTATGCAATTTATATGAACCGTAGTGATATCAATTAAAAATTCTCGTAATTTTTAACAAAATGGAATTTCTTCGATTCCCATTGTGTTGAATACTTCTGTTAAAGGCTTAACTTCAATAAACATGTATAATATTCATATCTAGGCTGGAGACTTTTCAGTTATGGCAATTTTTCTTTTTTATTTAGTAAAAACTTTGCCTAAGAACTCCTTACAATTATTTTGCAGATAACTTAAAAGCAAACATTAAAATTAATGTAATTTTAAATAGGTAATTTATCTTACAGTTTAAAGGTAATTCGCTTAGTTTGCAGGTGAAGGGTTTTTTCATTTAAGATCTTTGTTAACTCTCAGTAGGCTTGGTTGCTAAATTTGTTTTACTCCAAATTAAGATCACTTTCTACCATACTTAAAAAACCTATGATAAAAAATCATTCTGGCCAGTTTGTTTACTGAGTTGCTATAAGGAATTAATTGTTTTTCACCTAACCTAATTCAACGATACCGTACTGTGTCTTGCTGCGGCTCTGTTGTGTTAGTAAGCAATTTCAACTAAGTAAGCTTAAATCCTTAATATGACATCACCTTGAAACTTTTAAGAAACTAAGTCCATTATATGTTTTTAAGCACTTGCAATTCAGATAATTAGGCCTGAAGTAGCTATGAGGGTAGTAGTATGATATTCTAGACCTCAGTTCATCAGTTCAATATAAGGATTGAGAATAAAAATAGAATTTTAATTAAGTGCAACCATTGTCAGTCATTTAAGATATCATTTTGGAATTTAATAAACAGTATTTTTAACAATTGCTGTTTCATGTTACAGAGGTATTGGTATGACCAAGGCAGATCTAGTCAACAACCTTGGAACCATTGCCAAGTCCGGAACCAAGGCCTTCATGGAAGCCCTCCAGGCTGGTGCTGACATCTCCATGATTGGTCAGTTTGGTGTGGGTTTCTACTCTGCCTACCTGGTCGCTGACAAGGTGACAGTCTCGTCCAAACACAACGACGACGAGCAGTACCTGTGGGAGTCTTCTGCTGGAGGATCCTTTACTGTCCGCAACGACCCCGGTGAGCCCCTGGGTAGAGGAACCAAGATCGTCCTCTACATCAAGGAAGATCAGGCTGAGTTCTTGGAGGAGAGGAAGATCAAGGAGATTGTCAAGAAACATTCACAATTCATTGGCTATCCCATCAAGCTTGTCGTAGAGAAGGAGCGTGACAAGGAGCTCAGTGATGAAGAAGCTGAGGATGAGAAGAAAGAGGGAGAGGGTGATAAGGAGGAGGAAGACAAGAAGCCTAAGATTGAGGATGTCGGTGAAGACGAAGATGAAGACAAGGAGAAGTCAAAGAAAAAGAAGAAAACCGTGAAGGAGAAGTACACTGAAGATGAGGAGTTGAACAAGACCAAACCCATCTGGACCCGTAACCCTGACGATATCAGCCAAGAGGAGTATGGCGAATTCTACAAATCTCTTACCAACGATTGGGAAGATCATCTTGCTGTCAAACATTTCTCAGTAGAAGGTCAGTTGGAATTCAGAGCACTCCTATTCATTCCCCGTCGTGCACCCTTTGATCTTTTTGAAAACAAGAAGAGAAAGAATAACATCAAGCTATATGTCAGAAGGGTTTTCATCATGGACAACTGTGAAGACTTGATTCCAGAGTACCTTAACTTCATTAAGGGTGTTGTGGATAGTGAAGATCTTCCTCTGAACATCTCTCGAGAAATGCTCCAGCAGAACAAGATCCTCAAAGTCATCAGGAAGAACCTGGTTAAGAAGTGCCTGGAACTTTTTGATGAACTCGCTGAGGACAAGGAGAACTACAAGAAGTTCTATGAGCAGTTCAGCAAGAACTTGAAATTGGGAATCCATGAGGACAGTCAGAACCGCAAGAAACTCGCAGATTTGCTCCGTTACCACACATCAGCTTCCGGTGAAGAGGCTTGCTCCCTGAAGGACTATGTTGGCCGTATGAAGGAGAACCAGAAGCACATCTATTACATCACTGGTGAGAACAAGGACCAGGTTGCCAACTCTTCCTTCGTGGAGCGTGTCAAGAAGCGCGGCTTTGAAGTGATCTACATGACAGAGCCCATCGATGAATATGTGGTTCAACAGATGAAGGAGTATGATGGAAAGCAGCTGGTGTCCGTGACCAAGGAGGGTCTGGAGCTTCCCGAGGACGAAGAGGAGAAGAAGAAGAGGGAAGAGGACAAGGCAAAGTATGAGAACTTGTGCAAAGTAATGAAGGACATTCTGGATAAGAAGGTAGAGAAGGTTGTGGTCAGTAACAGACTGGTAGAATCTCCCTGCTGCATTGTCACCTCGCAGTACGGCTGGACAGCAAACATGGAGAGGATCATGAAGGCACAGGCTCTAAGAGACACCTCTACCATGGGCTACATGGCCGCCAAGAAACATCTGGAGATCAACCCTGACCACTCCATTATGAACACACTGCGACAAAAGGCCGATGCTGACAAGAACGACAAGGCTGTGAAGGACTTGGTCATGCTGCTGTTTGAGACCTCCCTGTTGTCTTCTGGCTTTGCTCTGGAGGACCCTGGTGTACACGCTTCCAGGATCCACAGGATGATCAAGCTAGGTCTGGGCATTGACGAGGACGAACCCCTACCTGCAGAGGAGGAGAAGGTCGACGCTGAGATGCCTCCTCTCGAGGGAGATGCTGAAGATGCTTCTAGAATGGAGGAAGTTGACTAAGTCTATAATTGAGTAGGCTTATTGTTTTGATAAAGACTGTTATTTTCAATTTGTACACATTGTACAGTGATATTAGAGTAAGGAAACATTTTGTATTTATTTTGATTAATGCATTTCCTTAAACTCATGTTCATCTTATAAATGAACCACAAGAATTGTTCCTGTTTTTGTACTATACTGTTAATTTTAGAAAGAAAATAAATGTTCATTTGTTTGTATCCAACGACTTATCATTGATGTTTGCCTTGGTCAACATTTTGGTTACAGCAATAATTAATAATATGATGATTGGTTTAACCACAGGTCAGTTTACTTAATTTTTTATTCAATTTGAGTCTTCATATATTACTGTAGTGATGTGTCAAAACCAAATCTCAATACTCAAAACCATCTATAATAATGTTAACACTGTTTCCACACAAACTGGTAGCAATAGAGCAAACATAACACAATTAACGGAAATGAAGCCAGTAATTGTATTCTGAACCTCAAAAGGCATCTTAAAGTTTTGGTTTCAGTTTTGAGATTAAAAATTTCTGTAAAGCACTTTTTCCATGTGTTTGCTCTTAAGTGGGTTTCACTAGAAAAATAAAAACAATACCCCGGTTTGCTTTTGGTGAATCTATTAAAATAAATCTCTTAACAGATGTAATCAAATATGCTTTAAAAATTTCAATTTTTGTACAAGAGTTGTCAATTTTTTCGTCTTGTTCATAATGGCGCAGATTTGCAGGCTATTTACTTGAACAGAAATGTATGATGTTTACAGAATACCACCTCTGCTTAAAACTTAGTCAATCTTGGTTGGCAAAGGAAAATTTGGAATGAATATTTTCAATGCCCTAACTAAATCTTGTGTTTTACAATTTGTCCTATAAAGGTGCCAGATGGATATCAAAGATCCTTTACTATGGAGCATAGTACATGCAGCATATACATTTTAAGATATAGAAAAAATTGAATAGTGTATTAGTCTACTTAGACCTATCATAATTATTTGTACTAGGGGAAACCCGTCGAAATCGACGGTTACTTTCAAGGCTTACGTTAATTCATCTAACTGCGATAAATTGGGTGAAATATACATATTTTTAACATTTAGCATTGTTTAAAGGGTAGTAAGTGTGTTGTCAAATTTGGTTGATCATTCAATGATTAAAATATTTCCCATACCGTACGTCATTTGACTCATCGGAGTTATTATTAGTATGTTATATGATATCTCTTCCTTTGGAAGAACCTTTAAATAGTATTAAAATCGTATTGGTGGGACTTTTGTAGTTAAACACTTCTGTGATTTCATCAGTGTAATATGATTTGATTTGAAATGAAAATATTTTTTGGGAAGAAATGTTCTAACTTCAAAGGGAGGTATGTCCGTTACAGTGTAAGCTTGATTTTTCCTTCGTCACGTCGCGTCAGTTCATATCGTACTTCTGTGCCAATGAATGAACCCTCTAGCATAGTTATGAGAAATTTATTGTGGGGTTACTGTTAAAGCTGCAATTCCTTGACATGGGGGATGTCAGTTGTCTCAGCCTTATCAATAACATAAAGTTGTCAATATAATCTCTCTACGGAATCATAGGTGTAGTGGAATACTTGAAGTGAAGTTGGCTTTTATTCTTAAACTGTTAGAGACCTCCTAGTTTATATGGTCTTGCGGCTTCATTGGCAACAAATAATGCAAATGACATAGCAATGGGACATTTCCAAAAAGAAAAAATACTGTAAATTGGCTGTTGCGTATATATTGACGTTTACATATTGTAAATCAACGTATCTTATAAAGGATTATGAGGTCTAGTTTAAAAGGAATATGACCTTTCTGTCATGATAGTAGCTGATAAAATAGTATTTTCTCTTTGTACCATATTTTACAGCCAAAATGTCGTGTTATTTTCAATAATGTTACCAACCCAGTGCGCCAAAGTCCGTAATATAGGCAGGTGCAAATAATTTGTCAAGATGGGTACCATTTTAGGCAATGTTTCTATGTTTGGATTTTATTAGACACGATAAGAGCAGATATTTCTACATGAATATTTGATATGTGTAGAATAATATGATAAAATTTCGGCAAAAGTGGTGAAAAAGACAGACACCAACCCGTACAATAGATATAAGATAGTTCAATATGAAATAATTTAAGAATTTCTGTGATCAAAGGATTTTCCACTGATTTCGTAATAGAACGTTATATTGCAAAACATGACATGATAAAGAGGAAAATTAATTTTAAAATCAGAAAATAACATTGCAAATACTTATTTGGTACAATTCAGTAACCCAATAAATATGTGTGGTTTGAAATACAATTTAAAAATGAACAGCTGTTTTATTAAAAAGTATTATTCACATGGCCAAAATGTAAACAACTCTGTGGAGGGATCTTTAAAGGCTTCTGGGGCAGAGCCCTAAGGGATTTTGCTTAGTTTTTCTTTTGATATCTCATCTACAGACCAAGACCATTCTTTGGACACCTCTACCAATTTTCTACGCCCAGCCGTTCTCTCAAATTAGTGGGGACAAAGTTTCCAATTAAATATTTAAATTCCCCCATGTTAATCTTATGGGAGAAAATCCAACTTTGATGGCCTGTGGGGCAAAGCCCGAGGATTTTTATTACATGAATTGGTGAAAGGGGGCGTCTACACAAAAAATACTTTATTTTGACACGTCGTTTGTAAAAATCCGTCCATTATTAACGGAGGAGTAGTGTTTTCAAGAAATCGCCTTCACGTATTATATATAAGGATAGTTAACATGCTCGAAAATGATACCAATTACTGTATTTTTAATAGGCAAGTTTTTCACATACTGTACACATTACTTGAAATTGAAATAAATCTTGTATATTGGCCTAACATCAAAATAAAGTAGGCTAGTTTGAAAGTTTCAAGCAGCTCTTTTACAACTACCATACATAGTATCAATTTATCTGAAATAGCGAATTGTTCTAATTTATCTAGCTGTTGAAGACAGCACACAGGAGCGAAAATTTGAATTGGATTGGATGATTGATGCACACCCAGTTGCCTGTTGTTACTTCTCTGTGGTGGTTGGTGTCTTTCTCCTTGTATTGTGTTGATATTTTCTTTATGCTGAAAGATTTTACCAAAGATTTTTCTTGATTGACTTTAGTTATTGTTGTGGCAGACATTTGTAAGGACCGGACTACTCAATAGCTTAGAGGCCATTATTGTATCTTATCTACGCCAGTGACATTTATTAAATTTTTTGTAAGGGAAAACATCACATGTCAGAAAGCATCATCAATAATGACAGACAACGAACTCAATAAGACAAACTCCTCGAGATTTTATGACAATTTTTGAACTTTGCAGAAGTTTAACCTTTTTGTGAGAGAACGGAATATTCGTTAAGAAGTACAGAGAGTTTGATCCGTTGGCAGATCGAAACACTGTCGTAAAATAAATTAATGTACGGTTTATGAAAAAGAAATGTCTAAAGATAAATTCTGAAAAATTGCGACTGGCGGGTATGACATCTACAAACCGACTTTGACTTTGTGGTGCTTTGACCTTCTGAATTTTTTGAACGACCAAAACTGCAAAACCTAGTAAAAATACAGTGACTGACGTGGATGAAAAACACACAAAGATGTAAGTGAAATTAATTTTTATTTATTTATAGAAAAAGTTGGCTCTTCTACCCGACCGATTTTCATTATTGAGGTCTCAAATTGAAGGCATGCACGCAAAGATTTGCCATCATGCATCGACATGATTTGATTCATTATTGAATTTAAGATTACTTCAATTTAAGATGTTTTTCACCAGTTATAATTATTTAAATAATCCTATATATTTTGTTCCAAGAACCTTCAGTGAAATACCGGCTTCCTTTTAAGCTATTAGTTATTCAAATCGGACGAGTTTAGAGCAAACGCAAAGTGAACAACCTAAAAATAATTTAATACAAATTATTTTTCATGAGGATTTTCTATGATTACGAATCAATAGCTCCAGTATTGTTAATGTTTTTGACTCAAAATAATCAGTATTTTATAGGCTTTAATTTGAGCTATTGATCCTTTAAATCATTAAGCTCAAGATACTGTATTACTCAATCAAAAATCATAAATTTGATTATTTCTCGGATAATATATTTATTTTAACGTTGCGGAGCAGCATGGGTCCCCTAGTTCTATTAATGGAATTCCTAATTTCAGTACCTATTCAAAGTCTACATTATTGAATGGTACGTCTATTCACTAGTTTACATTAATGGAAAGTCTACTCAACTGTATGCCTAGATTTGTTTCAGATAAATGGAATGGCTATTTAGATTATTTAAAGTCAATGGTGCATCAGCCTTATTCCAGCGACCATAATTATTGGTTATTCATTTTGTAGTAAATTATGCTCAATGATATTAATCCGATTGTTCATCCCTTTTTCTCTGTACGGTATTTGTAATGTGCTATTTAGATGATTCGTTGACTACCGTATGTTGCGACTCATGTTTACCTTTTTATTGTTATCTCGCAAATAATGTCATGGCAACCAATCAACCCATAAGGTCCATGTTAAATTTCCAAAAGTTTGAATTCACATAGGAAAAAGCCCTGTAGTCTGATTTGTACCATTTCAGATTTATACCTTCCCATGGTCGGTCACTACGATTGTGCTAAATTTGGTGCAGATTGCTTTAGCCGTTCAGGAGGAGTATTTGTAAAACAAAAGCAGGAGTGTAGTATAAGAGCTTCGCTTCACTCCGCTCAATAATTTAATACTCCTCTAGTTGTACCTATTTATATCTATTTTTAAAATCTATATATATAAAATCCAATGTATGTTTGTATGTTTGTATATTTGTATGTTTGTATATTTGTATGTTTGTCCTTTATGGACTCCAAACCCGCTCGACAGATTGTAATGAAACTTTCAGGCATTATTAAGCATTATTCAAGGATGGTTTGTGTGAAGTTTGGTGCAGATCCGTCAATAGGGCTCCGCCCCAGTGGCTCTGGAGTTTCCCATGTTAACCTTATGAGTACTCATATTTAAATGGAATTAAAGAATCTTAACAGCTGGTGCAACTAAACATTTTGATTCTGTGATGTTCAATAGCATTAAAAAGTTAATAGGTTTACCAACAGGGTGCAGCACTATATTTATTTTTAATTTATGTGTACAGCTAATTTGCAACCAAAAGGTGAGTGAGCGTAGCGAACGAACTTCAACCTGGAGGC